CAATCCCAAAACTTCTCACTTATCAAAACTAACAGACAATATAATAATACCCCAACAGCATGGCTTTCAAAGGGGGAGGAGCACAGTGTCAAACTTGTTGGTCTACCAAGACGATATATTGGGTGCCTTTGAGAGGAAGTACCAGGTGGACAGCATCTATACTGACTTCTCAAAGGCATTTGATAAAGTAAATCATCATTATTTAATCAGTAAATTAGGAGCCATTGGTATAGCTGGCAAATGGCTTGATTGGTATGATAGTTTTCTTGTGGGTAACACCCAGAGCATTAAGATAAATGGTGTGTTGTCTCAATCTGTTGACGTCCTCTCTGGAGTACCACAAGGGTCACATTGTGGTCCCCTACTTTTTGTCTGATGTTGTTGTATTAACGACGTTGAAAAAGTCATTAAGAATTCAAAATTTCTGAACTTTGCTGATGATAAAAAAATTTATAAAGTCATTACTTGTCAGTATGATCAAATTCAGTTACAAGAGGATCTCAGCAGATTTAGCTATTGGTGCAAACTAAATGAATTAAAATTGAACATTGATAAGTGTTGTGTTATTACTTTTCACAGAAAGCAAACAATTTTAAATTACGATTATAGCATTGATAACACTCAGCTGTCAAGGCAGGACTGTGTTAAGGATTTAGGTGTTTATTTTGATTGTAAATTAACATTTCGTAATCATCTAGAGGTCACAGTAAAGATTGCATTTAAACAATTAGGGTTTATAACTAGAAACACTTCTCAATTTTCATGCTTTGTTTTACCAATTCTTTTTAATAGTCTCATTCGTTCCAGACTAGAATATGCAATAGTTGTATGGGGACCTTACTATCAAACCTCTATAGACAAGCTTGATCGTGTTCAGCATAAATTTTGTAAACACTATCATTACTGTAGTGCTTTTCATGACCTTTCTGTCCCATACAGTTATAGTATGATAGCTGATCACTTAAAAATGGTTTCCATGAATCAGCGAAAAGATTATTTTTGCCTAATATTCCTTTACAAAATTGTTAATAATTTGATAAATTGCCCTGAACTTTTAAATCGATTAGGTCTTAACACTCTTCATGGAACTAGACATACTTCATTGTTTCATCTGCCATTTCATCAATTTAATTATGAATACTTCAAGCCTCTTACTTATATGTTGAGACTATATGATAGGTACCAAAGTGATCTGGACTTATTTTTCTAGTCCTTAGAACAATTTAAAAATGTGATAAAGAGACTGCTATTTGTGTAATATTAGTTTGTATTGAAGTTAATTATTAGTTTTTGTTAAACTTTACTATTATTTTCCAATGTTGTGCTTACTTTGTAAAATTTTATATATTATATGTTGTTCCAATGTAAAAATGGTATATCCGTTAATAAATAAATAAATGAATTGTTTCAATCATTCTTCTTCTTAATGTTCCTATCAGTTACGAATGTTGGCGATCATCATGGCAATCTTTATCTTATCTGCAGTAGCACGGAATAGCTGCACAGATGTTGTATTGAACCAGATTCTGAGGTTCTTTAACCAACATGTTCTTCTTCCTGAACCTTGCTTTCCAAATATTTTTCCTTCATATATGATTATAAAAAGCTGCCTTCATTATTGATGGATAACTTTTCCATCTTTTTTCCTTCTTCCTGTAATCGAGGGGGAGAAAGTGTTACATTTGGGGGTAGCTTCCAAACATTCACACATAGGTTTGCGGGTAATGCTAAATTCGGTCAGGATTGAATTTTAGGGACATACAACTTGATTGCTGGGGAAACTATAGGATGTTATTTAGTTTCTATGTAGTTTTGGGTTATCTGGGGTTTACGAGGCGGCTTCTAGCAGGTTTTTAAAGGCATCGATCTTGTCCTAAGGACTACTTCTTAAGTTATTGTTGTTTACTAGGACATGTGAGTAACTTTGAGTTTTTTATCTAGTTATAATTTTAAAATTGTTCCAGAATTTGCCACCATCTCGGTACTCTAGGTCAGAAGTTCCCCACTTAACCACTTATTTTCAAGATGTTCCCTATAAATTTTTTCAACCTGTGATATTCCACTAAACCTGATTGATTCCGCCAAATTTGATTCAAATACCTCGTCCAAATAAAATTAATATTAATCAGTTTCCACAAATAAATTATATCATTTAAAACTTCCTCTATTACACTCTCGACTCATATTTTTCTATTTGCATTTCCATGGTCCCTGCACCAAACTTTATCCCGCTCTATAAAGCTAGGTAGCTAGCTTCTGCAGCAGGTAATCAAAAAATGAAAGACAAGGAATCTATCTACCCACCTATTGTGGGGAACAGGTTTGCTGATATGAAAATTAGATATCCCATTGAAAAGCCATGGACCACTGTCAGAAAGTCGGTTAAGGATGTCAACCACTTTTTCATTCTCCAAATTAAAATATCTATTCTAGATTGTGGGAGACATAGGGTTTCTATATAAAGAAAAAGAAAGATCAGTGAATAACTGAGTTAATATTAGGGATAGGGATGGTAGAATTGTGCAGGCAACAACAACTAGTGTAATACTTATACAAAATAATAGCAGTAGAATTTGTGAAGACAATAAAAGATGTACATCTACACAGAAAAATATAGCTAGCCCAGATTTTAGGATTTCACAGAAGTTCAAACCAATGGAGGTTCATGTTATAATTCCTCCTGATAGAAAATACATTTATTTTAACAGCATGTTCAGTTTAAATTTAAATAAAACTGATATTAAAATGCATGTTCTGGATTTTGAAACAGTTGTGTAATTTTTTTCAAGAACTGAAGAATAAGTCATAGGTGGAAATTCTTCTTAATTGATTCTTCAAATTTTATGATTTTCATTCAAGGTTTAAATAATTATAAAATGTTTGAATTTTATGTGATAATTAAGGAAATATTAAAACTTCACCTAACATTACAAATAGGACCTGCATTTGTTTGGTGCAATTATACTTAAATATTTAATCAAATTATTAGTAATTAGCATTGGAATAAATATATCAATGATATAAAGCCAAGGTAATATTTTATGAAGAGCAGCACTCTTTTAAGTACTTACTTTTATCACTTGTTTCTTTTTCTTCAAATAGTATGAGTTTATCTTCACATGGTTCTTTTTCTGTCTTTATAGGGTTCTCCTTTAATACTAAATAATCAAATGCATCATTTGTAGTTTCCCTCTTGGGCTCCTCTTTAATCTCAACTTTAAAGGTATCAAAAAGAGCACCTCCTTCATTGTCTATTTCTTCTTTACATGTGTATTCATTAACTTCTTGTTTCACTTCCATTTTAAACTCAACTTTTGAAGACACGACACCAGCAGACCAGAGACCAGTTCAATAAGCGTTCAATATTCGTTGGTTGGTTCAATTCAAATGGGTGTTCCAAATTTGTTTACTTTTCAAAGGCGGCATCTGAAAATGGGCATTCTGATTGTTTATTATTCTGTGTCATAGACAATGACGTATATTATATTATATACCATTTTTCAAAGTAAAACACTTGCACGTCACGATTTATACAAAGTGACGTCACTTGTATTTAAAATTTCCAGTACATCAACCTTATAGTTCAAATTTTACTAACACAGCTAATAATACGAAACCCATACGGAACTGCTCGATCTTTCATAGGCGTCAACATGGTGTAATAATCAGAAAAATATCATCATCATTATATTGGAAATTTTAGAATTATATTGATTAAATAACCAACAACATTTATTATTATTAATAATATAAATTTTATGAAATAACTCTTGAAGTCTAATATTCCACAAAATAATATTTTTAATTAAATATATTAGACAATTGTACGCAACTGATACGGAAATATATCAAATAATATTGACAGTTCAGCGGATGGTAAAAGTGTATTAAGTGTTGCCGCTTTTTTAGAGTAGAAATTTTGTTTATGTTTTGACGTTTTACACAATTTGATCATAATATAATATAAATTGTATTTATAAAATCATTTTAAATTTAGATTAAGAGCTTTAAAAACTAATTATTGTTGTGTATTGTGATTGTGATATTCCAAAACAAATAAAAATCTGTAGAAAGCTGATAAGCTTTCATATAAGATAGATTATTTTGAACAAGAAATACTGGCGGGACGTTTTTGTTATTAAAGCCCTAAAAGAGGTAAGTTTAAAATGTAGAATATATAATTTTGTATTAAAATGGTTTCTTATGTATTTTAATGTGTTGCAGTCAGTGTTGTAGTCTTAAAACTAAATGGATTTACTGTTAATATAATAGTTTGACAAATAGTTGACATTTTAAAAATTTTTGACTTACTAACTATTCTGATGTTTTGGCAACGCTGTGGGGTTCTGAAGATGTAAATCTTGAATGACGTGCAAGCTTTTTTATCTGAAAAATGCTATACGTCATTGGTTATAGATTTGACTAAAGGTCGATTCAGACACATCAGTCACGTCTCGTCACAGTGATTGCGCCGAACCGAACAATCCGTCATACAAAATATTCTTTAATACAAATATGTTGCCGGCATTCACACTCATCAGTTGACAAACAGTTTCCCAGCTGTCAGATAGTTGATAGTTCTGTGACCAAACAGGACCGGTTCGGTACCGTGACTGTGACGTGACTGATGTGTCTGAATCGAGCTATAAATTCTCAGCAGGGCAGGGAGGGACAACCAACATAAAGGATATAAACTCACAAGATACTTTTTATTAAATTTTCTGTTTTATGAAAAACCCATTGGGTAATTTGAAATAGTTTATATTATTGATTGTCAAATAATCCATTTAAAATTAAATTAAATACAGTTTACACAAGAAAAATTCAACTTCCCTTCATCTGTGTTTTCATTTCAAGAACACATGGTGTTCCGTGGCAAATGTTCTCTCCAACTCATCCTCCATGTTTAATTCTTTGTTTATTAGGTTTGTTCTAGCTTCTTTTTAAATAGTTTGGTATTAAATTGTACTTAAAAGAAGTTACAAAAAACGGCTGCACATATGAAGATGAAATTGGTAGACCAAGTGGTGCGGAGTTTCCGCGTTGCAAAGGTTTTTCGAGAAAATACAGACAAAATAAATAGTATCGATTTCTCACCGACTGGAGAGACTCTGATATCATGTAGCGAGGATGACCAAATTGTTATATACGATTGCGAAAAAGGAACCCAAATTCGAACAGTTAACAGCAAGAAATACGGAGTAGATCTAATACATTTTACTCATGCAAAAAACACTGCCATTCATAGTTCAACTAAAGTCGACGACACGATTCGATATCTATCCCTACATGACAATAAATATATTAGGTATTTTCCGGGACACACCAAAAAAGTAGTATCTCTTTGTTTATCTCCTGTAGAGGATACATTTTTGTCTGGATCATTAGACAAAACACTGAGATTGTGGGACTTGCGATCTGCAAATTGCCAAGGGTTAATGCATTTATCAGGAAGACCAGTGGCTGCATATGATCCAGAGGGACTGATTTTTGCTGCAGGTGTTAATTCAGAAAGTATAAAACTATATGACCTGAGATCATTTGATAAGGTAATTAAGTTATTGCTTACTATTGATAGGAATGTGATACTTTATAATAAATCTGCTTATAACTTACCTTTTATTGTTCTAAAAATAATCATCATGTAACTGCTCAATTTTCTCCATCTACTCAACTATATAACAATTGATTAAATAGTTCTAAGTATCTTTTAACAGTTCAAAAATGTTGTGTGATAAGTTCTTCAGTTCGCATATTTTCATAGCATTTTCTGTTTCTTGTTGTCTATAAAAGTTCTATATTTTGTTCCCCATTTGTAAGATATTGACTTGTGATGGTTGTAGGTTATCTAATAATTTCCTTTTATAATTTTTTTTTTCTTTAGACTTGTTTCTGAATATGTGGTATTATGTATTTAAATTTGTTTCCATATTATCTAGCTTTTCACAGTTATTAATATTTCTCATCTATTCTTGAATAAAAATTTATTTATTTATTTAGACACCTTACAAACAATACTGACTAATAGTAATTACATGTAAAGTATTTAAGAAAAAAATACAATAAATGAAAGAAACGAACATTAATAATACAATAAGAAAAAAAATACAATAAACCCCTTAACCCTTTCGGTCACACGTTTTTTTATTGCAATGAAAAATATTTTGTTAATAATTCCTACCCAATTATGGTATTCTTAACATCTTTTGGTAAGAATATTACCATTTTTTTTATTAAAATAAGGTCCGTTGTTGATGTCATCAATTGACGACATTGTGACTAACTGGTTACAAACTAATGAGTATGACATAATTTTACAGCTATAAGTTAGGATAAAAATACATTTATTTATTTAAAAAAAAAACATCATTTAATGATATGAAATTGTAAAAAATAATTTTTATTTTTTGTCAAACATAGATGTACTTTACATTTTTGACAAAGAAAACGGGAACTGCCTTTACATTCTGGGAGTTTACATATTCAGATTTCGTTTCTGCATGCAATGGAAAATGAGCTATCTTGTCAAACTTTACATCATCAATAGGAAAGTTTTCCTAATTCTTTTTATTGTTCAATGGTTCTGATTTAGTCCCATTTGATGGGCGCTCTATTTTTCTAGCTCCTATGCGACATGAAATTAAAGCTTCTGCAATATAGGTCCAAAAATGAACTAAATCTAGTTTCTTTAGATGGCCGGAAAGAGTCCTAAATCTCTTTATTTGACAGATTTATCTCAGTTTTAGAAGGGTAAAAATGTAATAATTTTAGTAGCATCAATAGCTTTCATAAACCGTTGTGAATGCAAACAGAGAAACTGCTTTAGTTCAACTGAAATGTAACAGATTGTATTACGGGTCGTAAATCTAATTAATATTGGATGTTGTGAGGTAACTATACTGTTGCTATACCATAACATTCTGTAATATTTACTTAAACAAAGTTAAAATTCTTGTGTCGTCAATTGACAACACTGTGACTGAAAGGGTTAAACCTGGTGCTAAACATCAGTCAGTCTATTAAATACTTCATTACAAAATTTAACATTGTTTATTTGCAATAATATGTTTCTATAGTAATTTGTAAAGAATAGATCTAGGTTAGTTATCCTTAACCTATTCTTGGGTACTCTAAAGTAAATAAACTCAATTAAACCACAGTTTGTGTACTTAATACTGTTAACAATCAAGTATATGAACATAATGGCCTGACTGTTTCTTCTAGTGGCAAGTGACTGCAATTGAAATGAATCTAACATTACCCTGTATGAGACCACATATGGATATTTCTTGTTTATACTTACTTATAGAAATCGTTTTTGCAATTTTTCAATCATTTCTGAGTTTGAAAATGCAGTGACATGTTCGGTCCAAGATATACGAAGAATGCGTCAGTACACCCACATTTCGAATGCTTCTAGTTTTCTCGTTAGCGTCTCCGTCAGCGTCCAGGCCTCCACGCCATACAGCAAGATCGGAAAAATGTAGCATTTAACCATATGTAGTTTTAGGGGAAGAGACAAATCCTTGCTTATGAGAAGCTTTTTCATATTGCTAAATGCTGCTCTAGCTCGTTCTATTCTTGCCTTAATTTCTATGGTCTGTTCCCATTTTGCATTTACGTTAGTGCCAAGGTACACATAAGATATTACATGGTCAATTAGTATGTTACTTATCCGTAATTGTCGAGCAGTTTGTAGCTTTTTGCTTATCAGCATCCACTTTGTCTTCTTGAAGTTGAGGCTCAGGCTGTATTCCTCACTAACTGAATAAAGTCTTTCCATTACTTGTTGTAATTCGTCTATGGTATTGGCAAGGATCACCGTGTCGTCGGCATATCTTATATTAATTGAAATGAGGTTGAATGCTCGAATGAATGAACTTTGAAAAATAAGGCTATTATCGAGCACAAGTTAATTAAATCCAGCCCAAGTACTTTCACTTAAAATACCATCTTCAGGGGCATTTCGTCAAAATATAAACTATCCGGCAAGCATAGAATGTGGAAACATTAATAATAACATAAAATTGTACAAAACACTACACTAGAACGAGGACAAACAGTTTGTCCAAAATTACTTTAAAGATTCTACGCTACATTCTTTGTCAGTATCTGCCAGTCTTTCCCGTTACGAAAGGGTTAAAAGCTGTTTTCAAAATACAGGTTTTAAAATTTAAACTTTATTATTTCATTCTAGGGTCCCTTTGTGACGTTCAAACTAACACAAGAAAAAGAGTGTGACTGGACAGGTTTGAAATTCTCCAGAGACGGAAAAACTATCCTTATTAGCACAAATGGATCAATTATTAGACTGATTGATGCTTTCCATGGCACTCCTCTACAAACTTTCACAGGCCATCTTAACAATAAGGGTATTCCCATTGAGGCATCTTTCAGTCCAGACTCTCAATTTATATTTAGTGGATCAACTGATGGAAGAGTTCATGTTTGGAACGCAGACACAGGATATAAAGTAAGTAATGAAGAATATTGAAGGTTCAATTAATGGACTACCTAAGCTCTGACGTCACAATGAGCAGGTGTTTTAAAAACCTTTCCAAACATTTCTAATTTGTCTTTATTTGTCCCGTAAGAAGTTGGGAATATTGGTTTATACCACTTGTCTTTTTTCCTTAAATAGTCAAAACTTAAAAAAATTGTTTCTTAGCATTATTTCCATTTTTGACTGGTTAATTGTATAAAGTGATATATTAGTCCAGGGAAATAAGCAAAAAAAGTACCCTGTTTTTGACACTCGTCCGGCCAGGCAAACCACAGTTGTTTTGAGTAGTGTGGACCTCTGTAACGAAAACCTATATGTTTCCTGCAGTCGATTTTTTGGACTAAATTAGTTATTAACAAATTAAGTTCAAAAAACGGAAAATGTTTGCTTTTTTCGTCTATCAGCAAAAAGTGAAGCAATTTAAACAAATTTTAGAAGAGAGGAAACTTATAAGTTATATAAAAACCTTCAAAATGGCGTTCTCAAAATGTTTCTATCCTTATTTGTTGTTTAGAAAGTTGCAAAATAAGTCAAAAATTTCGGTTTTTTATAAATGTTAATAACTTTTTTGAAAATAAATTTATAATATTTATATTTCATGGAATGATGTGTCTTGTAGTGCTTAAAATAGGGTTAAAATTTCAAAGTGATCGGTCCAATAGTTTAAAAGTTATTTTATTTGTTTATCCCAAATTAACATTTTTTGCAACAATATAAGTCAGAAATTTATACAGTTTTAGAAATTGTAAGTGTTGTTTCTGGTAGAAGAAGACTTGTTTTATTATTTACATTAAAAAAAGAAATAGAAAAATTAATTTTACATATTGCAAAATAATTTTGCAAAAACATGTCGATTTTTTGCTTATAAACAATTAGAATAACTTTTTAACCATTGACTGTAAAAATATTATTTTTACATATTATTTAAAAAGCGTGAATTTTTTCACAAATTTAAGTAAAAAAAAGTTTGTCCTAAAATATTTTGGTACAAAGTTAGCCTCTTTTTTTATAGCACCTTTGTTTATAACAATTAAGAAATCTAATTAGCGCTATTTAAAAGAATATACATTATAATTTTAAAGTACTAAATTTTAAAATTATTGGCCTTTAATGGAATCGTCCACAAAGCTTCAAAATGTATGTAAAATCGGTCGGCTTTGAAACTCTCGGGAGCTGAAGGGCTGGGGGAGGCGCTGTTAACTGTATCTCTGTTCCTTTTTTATGTATTTCAAAGTTTCTTTTTAAACTTGTATGTACTTTTTGCGTACATTACGAATATGCATTATTTCAATAAATAAATTGTCAAATAAACCACCTAATTTGTTTAAAAACAATTTTTTTAAATTTTTTTAGTAGTATTTAAGTTAAGTTTGAATGTAAAACAGAAGTATTTGTCATTTCCTATATTTTGGGGACTAAGCCACAATTTAAGTTTATAAAAAGTTTATTTTTGATGTTTCGATTTCTACTTCGGAAATCTTTCCCAGAATGCAAAACATTAATAAATTAATCAAATTTTGTTTTTGGTTACTTGGTAGAAAATTTTTCTGATAACTCTTTTGGGTGATTGATTAGGTGCTTTTGAATATGATATGGGTGCATCTTGTTTTTAGATAGAATGTTTTGAATAGAGTAGTAACTAAGTTCTTGCTTATTGGAAATACTCCTTATACTTGTGAGTGGGTTTTCTGTAACTGCCATCAACACACTCATTTCGTTTTCCTCTGTCACACTAGTTTTTTTTTTCGTTCATGTTTTTCAGAATTCACTGAACCAGTGCGGTTAAATCGATCTTTCAATTTTTCAAATGTATCTTGTCTAGGTTGCGCCTATCTGAAAACCGTTCATGATAAATTCTAGCTGATAGTAATGAATTTTTATTGCATTCTTCCAATATCCAGATCATATTTATCTATCATTTCATCAGTAGTAAAATTCATTATTGCTAATTTGGAATTGAATAAATTATTGAATTGCTAAATAATAATTGTTGCTAATTTACGATGTACCCCAATACTGAATTAATAAACAATAATGTCAAACTGTCAGTTTCTGACAAATCAATCATGGTCAACTCACAATAATTATTGGTAGACGTTAAAATTTCAAAATTTATACTTCGATGGAAAAATAAAAATATCTAGAAAACTAATAACTTTAGGTATAGGGAGTACTCTATAAAATTTGAAGTACGATATTAGTACTTTTCGATAGTGATATAAAATACAGGGTGTTCTATTTAAAATTACCAAGAAAATAATGTACTTGCATTTTGACTTACCCTGTATTTGATTTAACGAATATTATAAAAACGAATATGTTTTATAATTTTTAACAATCATTAAAAAAACTAGGGTTGCAATAGATCAATGGTCCTATACTCCTTTTTAATTATACAGGGAGTTAAACTTGATACGATTTTCAGGTAATATTGTTGTAACTAATTTAAAAATGTGGAGTTTAAAGCTGTCTACAATTTTTGTAAATAACTTTTTTTAATAATTTTTACTAAAACAGATCTACTGAGCTTCCTTACCCTAATCAATCACCCAGAAGAGTTATCAGAAAAATTTTCCAACCAAATTTTCTACCAAGTAACCAAAAACAAAATTTGATTAATTTGTTAATGTTCTGTATTCTGAGAAAGATTTCCGAAGTAGAAATCGAAACGTCAAAAATAAACTTATTATAAACTTAAATTGTGGCTTATTACCCAAAGTAATTCTGTTTTTTTTTTAAACAAATTAGGTGGTTTATTTGACAATTTATTTATTGAAATAATGCATATTCGTAATGTACGCAAAAAGTGCATACAAGTTCAAAAAGAAACTTTGAAATACATAAAAAAGGAACAGAGATACAGTTAACAGCGCCTCCCCCAGCCCTTCAGCTCCCGAGAGTTTCAAAGCCGACCGATTTTACCTACATTTTGAAGCTTTGTGGAGGATTCCATTAAAGGGCAATAATTTTAAAATTTAGTACTTTAAATTTATAATGTATATTCTTTTAAATAGCGCTAATTATATTTCTTAATTTTTATAAACAAAGGTGCTATGAATTAAATAAAAAAAGAGGCTAACTTTGTACCAAATTATTTTAGGACAAACTTTTTTTTATTTAAATTTGTGAAAAAATTCAAGCTTTTCAAGTATGTAAAAATAATTTTTTTACAGTCAATGGTTAAAAAGTTATTCTAATTGTTTATAAGCAAAAAATCGACATGTTTTTGCAAAATTATTTTGCAATATTTAAAATTAATTTTGCTAATTTTTTTAATGTAAATAATAAAACAAGTTTTCTTCTACCAGAAACAACTCTTACAATTTCTAAAACTGTATAAATTTCTGACTTATATTGTTGCAAAAAATGTTAATTTGGGATAAACAAATAAAATAACTTTTAAACTATTAGACCGATCACTTTGAAATTGTAACCCTATTTTAAGCACTACAAGACACATCATTCCATTAAATATAAATATTATAAGTTTATTTTTAAAAAAGTTATTAACATTTATAAAAAACCAAAATTTTGGACTTATTTTGCAACTTTCTAAACAACAAATAAGGATAGAAACATTTTGAGAACGCCATTTTGAAGGTTTTTATATAACTTATAAGTTTCCTCTCTTCTAAAATTTGTTTAAATTGCTTCACTTTTTGCTGATAGACGAAAAAAGCAAAAATTTTCCGTTTTTTGAACTTAATTTGTTAATAACTAATTTAGTCCAAAAAATCCACTGCAGGAAACATATAGGTTTTTGTTACAGAGGTCCACACTACTCAAAACAACTGTCGTTTGCCTGGCCGGACGAGTGTCATGAAAAAATGCTTATTTCTCTGGGCTATATCTCTAGAATCACCTCGATATTACAAGAATATTTTTATTATTTTTTAAATATTTTTTTAACATTGTAAAAATTCATGTGGATATAAACGAGGACATAATATATAAAATATTTGCTTACACAAATATTTATTATTATGAAATTGTTATAAAATAGGTTATTTAAATTAACAGTTTAAACATTCAATTACATTTTAGTCCTCATCACTATTCTCATCTATGACTGATTCAACATCAGATCTAAAAATTTCTAATAGAATTTTTGCTGGTCTTATGATTCTCGATTTATATCTTGAATTACTGAGATAATATATGACTGCAGCTATATGAGTACACGAACCCACAGTGCGTAACTGATTTGAACAGTCACATGCGTGGCGCAAGTTACCATCATATCCAATTGAATCGGGTTTATATTCAATGTAGCATTTATAGGTCTTACTGCTTATATGCCTAAATAATATTTAGTTTCATTGTAATACACTTCAAATTGATGTTATTACTATTATCTATCAACTCAGCCGAATAGTGAGCTATGAGCATCTATTAACATCGCTTGACCTAACTGATAGGTTAACCAAAAAAAAAAAAAATCATTTTTGAAGTCCCTTTCAGTCATGTCTGGAAGGTTAATGATTTCTTGAGATGTCAGCTTGGTCGTTGTAGTAGGACGTCTTGACCACCTGGCTGTCTCAGCTTCTAATGCTAAAGTATTCTCACCTTGATTAGATTTTAACATTCTTTCGATTATTATATCCTGTAACCCATCATCATTTTGGTCACTATTCAAACGCTAAATCTCAAATTCTTGATCTTGTGATAACAAAAACAATATATAATTACATGCTTTAACATAGGCTAGGGTAGTGCCTTATATTTACTGCAATTGATATTAGTAAGTAAGCACAATTTAACTTTCACAAATCAACCTTTGACGGTTTCACGAATCAATCTCAAAATTCACATCTACTATGATGCACAATAGTAAATGCGACACTCTTCGTTTCCTTAATGAATCGATAAATCACTCGATCGATACAAAATATTGATAAAGTACATCCCAGAGGTACTTTTCAGTGCGTCATTAATTATGACGTCATATAATGAATTAGGTGTGTCGAGCA